GGTCAGCCTGCTTTCTGTCCCAAGGTGAGAGGGGGGTGAGCAAGATTTTCACCCTATCGCATGTATGCTTCATATTTTTTCAGAATCTTCGAACTCAATATAGGTTCTATTCAATGTGTAAAGGAGCAACGCCGTCGTAATGTCAGCTTTGCGTTTAGGTTTAATTTTCATTTCGTTTAGTTTTTTTCAGATTGTTGAAGAAGAAGCTCTTTATGTCGTGCAACTACTTGAAGCCTGGCTTCCTGCGTGTTATGCTACGTTGAGGTATTTATAAATGCTTTTATTGTATTATCTGTCTTATTCATACAACTTCTGCTGTAGAAGCTTTTGGCCCCGCCTTTGTACCATATAATTTCTTAAAGTCAACCCATGCCTGAAATGACTACAGCCCTTTAGATGTCTCCGAATCTACGCTTTCATTCGACTTGACGCCAATTTCTCGCTCATGTTGAACAAATGCCCTGCATTAAGCCATCTTACTCTTTCTAAAGTAAGGCCTTTCCCAGGAAAAATTCGTGTGGAATAGCACTCTTTCGTCTTTAGTAATCAAAACAATTCTTAAACTGATATTGGCTACTTTTCTAGATCTCCGAGATTTCTTGTCCATGTTTCAATACTCTGGACTCTTTTGAGTTCAATGGATGCGGAATGGGTTACACAGAAGAAGATTTATCTCTCGGGAAGGTATCTAAGTTTTGAACAGCGCCAAAGTTTTGACTTTTTGATGTTTATCTTCCAGTGTATAGAGAAGTATTTTCCCAATGTGCGTGTAATTGGTTTTCGTGCGGTCTGTTTTGATCCGGTTTTGACAACTCTGATTAGGTAAGTACAAAGGTTAATAAGCACAAATTGAATCGTATTCTCTTATTTTCTGTCGTTGATCACCTTTGCGCTGATTCTGTTCTTTTATTTATGTCTGGTTCATTTACAGGAGTTTGACGCCGACCGGCAAATGCTATGAAATTTATCAAGTTGTTTCCACTCAGCAGTAAGTTGTCTTCTTTTCTTCTCCTTTTTCTTTCATTTACTACATATTGAATTTTCATAGAAAAAGAAGAATAGGTGATAGTGTCCATCTTAATACATAATTTTGAATTTGCAGATTCACATCTTTGGTGAAACCGATGTTTATTCCGAGGTCTGCCAGAGAAAGCGAAAGTTGTATCGAACTGGTAAACAAGAGGTATGGTACTCGCCTCATTGTTTTCGATAATCATCAACTTTATCGAACTCCTTATTGAAACATGTTTATAAGTTGTACTAGCAAGCAAAATAGATTTTTTTGTTTTCGGTTATTTTTGTAAGCTATGTAGTCTACATTCACCACTAGCGAAGAATGTTTATTTACGAGTTGTAATTATCAGATATACTTGGAAGGTGAAATCTTCTTTTTGTACCAGAGGTTCAATATTAGACGCGTAAGAAACTCCCGTAAAATGGAATGTAATCTGTATAACAATAAATCGTTGCCTAAGGAAAAATCCACTTAACGTCTTCCGCTAACATATCGTACGAATGGAGAATAAGGATGTATCACACAATCACAGCATGTTCTGAGGTCAATAGATTGGATACGCCAACGTGGACATTGGTCTGTTCCTTCGTTGTGTAGTATCTAAATCGTAGCTTTAAGGTACATTTACCACTTTGAAATCGGACGTTTAATCACAGCCTGACGAAATAAGCCGCATTCGTTTAGCCGTTATAGGGGCGTGTTACTGATGTAACGCGTGTGCTCTATAGTACATCTTCTTGACGGCTGGGCGCTATATTTCCGTTGCAG